AGCGGCTTTCCACCCAGGAGAAGTTTTTCTTCCCCTCTTGATTGCAAACATGGTCTCCCTTCCCAGAGCACCAAATGATCTCTGTATTTGTATTTCTCACATGGAAAAGTATGGCCTACCTGTGCCACATCTGTATCAGGCTTAGGAAGGTCCTCCAAACACATTCACAGTGCCATAAACACTTAACCTCAGCACACACCACAGCCATCAATTATTGCTTCAGTAATTGCATTTTAAAAATATGTATCTCTATAATAAGACTGTGAGTTCCAAGGGTTAGTAACTATGTCTTACACAAGAGAAACTTCTGTGACTCTATCTGGGCCAGTTTGTAACATGTGTAGGAACAGTAATAATCAGATATGGAGATAGGACCAGAGGACACAAGATCTCAGTTGCCATGATGAATACTTTTTACTTTATCCTAATGTTAGTAACAGTTCCACAAATGTCTATGTATGAGGTGATCAGATTTGTTTGAAAGAGTAAATCTGGCCACACGTGGTGTGGCTGAAATGGTAGATGGGACGCCAGCTATTGCTATTGTAGACTATAAAAAGTGGCCACATGTTTCCCGTGTCCTGGTACATCCCCTTTGCAAAGTAACTTTGCTCCTATTCTTATCACACACTTGAGAGTTTAAGCATGATGGCGAGACATGATTTGGCCAATGAGACATTACCATCTGTGATGCTGTAAAGGTTTCAAAACTGCCTGCCCACTGGGGTTTGCCTAGCAACCTGAAGCTGCTGTATGATAAAATTCTCCAAACAAGGAATCTCTACCTCAATCCAGCTTTAAACTGATAGCACCGTTGTTCCTATGGGAAACACTGCTTTTTCTACAGTGCCATTGTTCGGCACTTCAGACTATGAGACCGTGTAACAGAATCCCCCAGTGGGTGGGGGAGGAGCAGCTGGAGTTTGACTTCCTTAGACGGGATGTCCTAATACACTGAGGACTTGCCTTGAACACTATTCTGTACATTTCATGGAGCAACAAGTAAACAGTTAACTCAGCCCAGGGAGCTGATCAGCTCTACTGATGTTTCTACTAGACTGAGGAGGAAGAAGAAATGCTCACCAGGTGGAAAAGGGGAGTGGGGCATGTTAGAGAGGGTGGGCGGTATAATTCATGTTCTTAAGTTCAAGGAAAACTCTAGAAGTTACTTTACAGCATCTGAAGTTTTGTAGGGAGATCATTCAAATAATTTGTTATAATTAGTGCTTTTCCTGAAACATAATCTTATTTTCAAGAATTTGCCTTTATTATCATTTCTATCTAAGCCTCATCCCCAGGTCACATTGCACACAGATAAAAGAACTTAACAGGGATTTTATTTGCTTTAATTGTCAGTTTCAATAACTCTAAAACTATGATGATTTTATGGAATTTAATTTAATTTAAATTTTGTGTGTTCTTTAGTGAATCATGAAATTACTGATCAATCTAATACCTTATTCTCATGCAGAAGAGACTTGATATTTCTCTTAAACACATGCACACATATGACCCCAGTTTTAGAATCACAGTAAGTTAATCTCTGATTGAAGTTATTGCTCTATAATTCTTCCGTGTTTCTCTGCAGTGAAGCATAGAGAAACCCCCAACACACACACACACACACACACACACACACACACACACACACACACACACACACACACACACACACACACAGAAATACACACAGAAATACACACAGAAATACACACAGAAATACACAGAAACACAGTATAGACAAAGGTTTCTTGGGTCCCCCGCAGTCCTGTGGCACATTTATAGACTAATCACTCAAGGCTTATATTCATTATAACTGTTCGGCCATTAACTCAGGCTTATTACTGACTAGTTCTTACACTTAAATTAACCCATAATTCTTATCTATGTTTAGCCATGTGACTTGGTACCTCTTCTCAGTTCTGCCTTGTCATCTTGCTTCCTCTGTGTTTAGTTCATGACTCCTGACTCAGCCTTCCTTTTCCCAGAATTCTCATCTGCTTGCCTCACCTGTACTTCCTGCCTGGCTGCTGGCCAAACATCATTTTATTTATCAACCAATCAGAGCAACACATATTCACAGCGTACAGAAAGACATCCTACAGCACTTTCCTTTTTCTTCTAATCAAAAAGGAAGATTTTAACTTTAACATAGTAAAGTTACATATAATAGAATAGTTATCAAGCAGGAATTACAGTTACAATATCTAGTCCATTTGTATTTGGCAAAATTAAAGAAAATATCCTATCTATCCTAAATTTATGAATCTAAGGTTTCATATCTAACTTATCTTTTATCATAACCAAGGAAAACTATAACTATCTAGTCTTCAACTGCATCAAAGACCTCAGAAGGATATAATATTACCTAAATAAACAGGAAATGCATTGTAAGCAACTTCCAAAATTCTGGAAATGCCTGGACAGTTATCCTAAGTTTCTCTGCAACATTGGGGCATCCATCTTCAGCCTATAGGCCTAGACTCTCAGTCACTTTTTCCTATGTCATATAGAATGTCTGGTAGTCTCCTCTGTGAAGTAGGAACCTGAAGGACCATTCCATATAATTCTGCAGTGAAGCATAGAGAAGTCCCCAACACACACACACACACACACACACACACACACACACACACACACACACACACACACACACTCTGAAAGCATCTTCTTTATAAGCAGGTGCAAGCCTGCCTGCTCTTAGGGAAACAGTCAATGAGAAGTTGTTCTGGTGATCTTAAATCACCCTCATTAAATCACCCTCTTCTAGACATGATCAGGGAAGATGCATTTCACAGTATCAAGCATGGCCTGACCTTATAACTTCTCTTATGACTAATCTAATCTCAAACCATCTGTGGTACTCTACAAATATATAGCTTATGATAGCCTTGAGATGGTTATGCAAAATTATCATTAGAAAATATTTATTATTTAAGAAACAAGGTCTTATTTTATTGTCCAGACTGGCTTTGAACTTCTGGGTGCAGGTTACTCTCCAATCTCCGCCCCCTGAGTCTTGGGACTACAGGTGCTACTTCCCTTCCCAGAGGAGCACTTTTCCTTTACCCACTGACATCAATACCCAGTGTCATTTGCTAATGATTCCTCACCTAAAAGAGGTGTTCCTGTTCCTTATGTAAATAGACCATAAACTACAGTAACACCATCCTACAACATATAAACTTATTTCTTCTCAGACACAGCCCCTCAGGAAAGTGAAATAAAAAAAAAATGACAGGGAAACCTAATAGATGTGTTTAAATCAAATTCATAATTGCTTCCTTCTCATTACTATGTACAAACCTTGCCTCCACGTGTATCCACTTTGTTTCAAACATTAAAAAAAATTGAAAATAGTGCTTGGATGCTCAACTGTATTTGCAACAGTGTTGTTTAATCTTCTTCTGCCCACTGAGTAATGTGAAGAAACCCACGGATGCTGATAAAGTCTTGTTGACTTTATCCAGGGAAGTCCTAACCCAAGACAAGTGAAGATCCCCATGACAAATGACAGGCAAGACAGGATGCACATGTGTGGTTTCCACTAGCAACCTGTGCAAAAAAAATGCAGATTCTGAGCTAAGCTGTATTGCAGGTGTTTCATGCAACAGCTCGTCCCCATTCCTATCCCTTCACACAGTTCTTATTTTTAGCATGAATGCAATCCTGAGTATGTGGTTAAAAAAAAAACAATTTGCAAGAGGAAGATGGTGAGACAGAGGTGACCGGTGGGTGTTGGATCTGACATCCAAGGAAGAAAATACCTATACTGCTTGCTAAGCTGCTGTGTGACTTAAAGTGTAACATGTAACATACTGTGAGTGCCGAGAATAAGAAAGTAGGAAAATCAATATGTTGCAGTTGCTTCCACAGTGTTTCTTTCTTTCAACATCTCATTCTTCATTGCTGTCCCTTCAGCCACCTGGGACTTTTCCATGGTAACCCAGCTGGGAAGGGGTGCAATTGTGGAAATACAGAATTTTTCAAACCTAGTTCTGCCTCTGTCAAAGAGGAGAGGGATGAGTCCCTGTATTCCACCTTCCTGTTGTCACTAATTTCGTATATTTTTTACTTAGTTAGATCACAAATCCTGGAGCTGTCTCCTTCTCCCCAGATCAGGTCACATCCTCCTGAAGACTGGCAGGCTCATTCTCTCAAGGCTAGCTGCCACGACTAACCTGCAGCTCTCAGAGCCACTCTCTGTCTGTCTCTGTCTCTCTGTATATCTCTGTTTCTGTCTCTGCCTCTCTGTTTCTCTGTTTCTCTCTCTCTCTGTCTCTCTGTCTCTCTGTCTCTCTGTCTCTCTCTGTCTCTCTCT